CAGTCCTTCCACCCAAACAGGTGGAAAGGGATTAGTCTAGGGTGAAAAGCTGGGGGAAAAAGCTCCAAGGTCATTTTGATGCGAGCTTCTCAAAGCTGCGTGCTTTTGAGAACACCCTCGAGTTGGTTTCTCTTTCATTCATTTGCGTGCCTGCTGGACAGGCTAAGTTGTGGTGCTGGAGAATAACCTTTAAATAAGGTGTTTAGAGCAGCCCGCAAAGACGTGAGCTTTAGTAAAGATATCTCTCTGAAGATCAGTTTCAGCGTTTCAACCTGTTTTAACTTTATTTTGTGATCTGCAGCTGTCTTAAGTAGCAGGTCAGCTGCTCTTCTCGCTCTGCAGAGCTCTGTGTGCTGGCTTGCAGTGAGGCGCTAAAGCAACATTTAATTTACAATATTGGGCTTTATTTGAAGAAAATTTGAGAGGAATGACTGCTGATCATTCTCTCATGGAAACAGCTCAGCCCATTTGATGCTTTCTAACCTGTTTAATGAGATGAAAATGCTGCAGAGCTGCGCCAGAAGAACGTGTCCCAGCTATGCTACCCCAGCCCGGTGTGAAAAGGAAGGTGGAAATCGTCCCTCAGATGCTCTTTCAGCCTCCCATTCACACAGAATCATAAAGACAGTTATGTGAAGGCTGTAGAGAGTTTTCATCTTCTTAGACCTTGTGCTTGCTACTAAACTGGTTGAGTTCTCAGCATTTTGGGGGGGAGTTAAAATCATTCAGATTAGTTCAAAATGGTTTTCAGGACAACAGTATCATTTTTTAAATAATCCAACATTATTAAATTGATGCTTCTATAGTATTTGAAATTAGTGGAGTTACATGAATCTAAAATTTAGGGAGTTTAAGATGACGTAACACACCTGCCAAAGAGATGGGAAAAAGGTTTCTGGAAAAACGTATTCTGTTTTGTCCATACTACTTTTGTTCTGTGTACGCTTTCAGAATATGATATACTGTTATATTCTGTATAATCTCAGATGGGGTGACCCGAGAGCTGCACATGACAAGAGAGGGAAGCCTGCGGGCTGTTTTATTTTGTGGCATCAAGGGGCCGTGCAGAAAGCTGCAAGGCGGCACATCCCGAGCTAGAGCCAGCACACGGGAGCCCAGGGCCACGGGGATGGGTCAGGGGGTGCCTCCTTCAGCAGCTGCCACACACGCTTCCCTCAGGGACTCCAGGGAGTAAATACGATCCACGGGTGTTTGCCCAAGGGGAAACAAATTCCAAGCAGGACAAGCGCAATGCTGAAGTGTTGTGGAGAAGTGCAGGAAAATTGGATCGGGTACAGAACGCAGCATGATGGGCTCTGCTGAGACCCCAAACTTAATGAGTAAACGAAGTACGATTTCTTTTTTTATTCTTATTGTCATTATTTTAGTTTTTGGGCGAAAGGTGATTACCTGTTTGGGTAGCTTGCTTAGTTTGAGAGAGAGTGTATTCACTTCAGCAGATCAAAATCTTAGATCAGGAATGAATTCCAATCTCTAAGGTGTTTCATCATTAAAACAGGATTTCTGTCGAGGTTCAGGTCGGATTACTGGGGGTGCAAGGTCAGGACTTTTTTAACCAGCATTAAATGATAGGTAACCATAGGTATTTCCTTTGTCATTTCTGCTTTAATATCTCTCTGTGCCTATATTGGGGCCTGAGATTTGGTACAAATAAAACAGCTTTTTATGCGTATTCTCAGCTGGGTGTTCTGAAATCTTCTTTTCCAGAAGACTTCAGATTAAATTCAGCTACCCTTTAAAATTTATGGTTAATTGCAACAGCTTTTCTTTAATGCAGGAGAAGCAAGCAGGACTGAAAAAACAAATATATATATTTTTAAACTAGGACAGTCCTTTTTAGACATTGCAGCACAGTTGATCCCCTTGTAGGAGAACTGGGTGTACGAGGGGTTCTCAGTCGGGTTCCCACCATCTTCACGTGTATTTCAGCTAACTGAGAGACAAGCGTCAGCTTTCAGACTGCACAACAGAAGTTGTGAACTTGTATTGACTCAGGAAGGCTTTTGTTGTTGTTTTTAAAATGTCAAGTCCTTTTCGGTTTTATTCATCATCAAAAGTGTGCGTCTTCTCAAGCTGCATGGAATTTTTTCACTCGTTTTTGTCACTGCTATAGAGGCGAAACCAGCCAGAGGTTCTCCAGAGTTAACAGTATCTTTCTTTAGGGGAGCCTGCATGGAAAATTCTGTTTTCAAAAGAACTGTAATTTTAGCTGTAACTCAGGGACAGAATTTAAGTGTATTATTTAAATTTATGTGCAACTTGAAAAGTAGTGGCTTGAAAGTGACATCTTCTTACTCAAAAGATCTGCTTTTCTATGATAAAGATTTGACTATGGTAACAGCACCATGAAACCCACATAGCTGAACTCTCTTCCCTCTTTCTCTTCCTTCATGTCAGAAATTCGAAGTATGTTTAGGCAGGCTGCTCTCATTTACATATATAAGGCAAAATTTGAGACAAATGGTGTAATATATAAAATTATATGTATATACACACATATATAAGATTATGCTGGTAATGATAAATAGGAGAAAAAAAATAATTTTTGGTATCTGTGACTGAGTTTTCTGTGGTGCATGGGCCGAGCAGGCTGAGTCTGTAGACGATAGCACTTGGTGGTGCCAGCTCTCCCCATTCTTACAGCTCCATTTTAGAGCCAGATCACTGTGTCCCTTGCTGAAAACAAAAACCGTGGGTTTCTTTCTGGGGGTGGAAATCCCATGCAAAGAGGGCAGCTCCTGCTGTCCCCCTGCCCGCGCGCTGGCTCTGTGCTACCAGCCAGGCGCTGCCAGAAACACTGTCCCCATGGGGCTGGGGACCAAACTTCTCCCATGGCCAACGGGGAGGGTCTGTTGGGGTCCCCCTGGGCTGGGGACCCAGCTGACACCTTAGCTGAACCCCAGCCTTAGCATCACGCGGGGCATGTGCTGGACAGGCTTGAAACTTTGTGCCTGAAGAAGCGCTGCGTTTTTGCGGGGTTGCACATTGCACTGGTGGCAGGAGAACTGGCTAGGAGGGAAAGGAGGAGCTCAGAGCGCTTTGGAGGAAAGACTGTAGGGATTTGACAGGGAGATGTCAAGCACTTACTGAGGGGGTTTTCTCTGAAAATAAAATTGCCCAAATTTCTAGGGGTGTTTATCTTTCCTACTTTTTCTGTTTATTTCTGGTAATTCAGTTGTTATCTGTTGCCATAGTTATGAAGCAGAAGTACTTCTTGGAAAGGAAAAATTCCAAGTAAGTCTTGGAGCTGTTTTAAGGGGAAAATGATAAAAGTCTGTCATGAAAAAATCAGATAAGAATAATAGACTGTCATGACTTTGAGGATTTTAAAATCACACAGCTCATGTATACAGTTTATTTGGTAGAATATGTTCTTTCTCCCACATAACTTTCAGATGCAAATTAATATCAAAGGTACAAAAAGACAGGCTAACTCATATCGAAAAGGCTGCAGTTTCTGAATGATCGAGCCAGTAGTAAATAATACTTTGAGAACCTACTGTTTTGGAAAGCTGTTCCTCTTGCTACTCTGCAGATAATGGTGGAGATGATAAAAACCTTTCTTTTCCTCTGAGCTCCTTCATTCCTCAGCTGTTGTCATGCTTTTAGTACTAACATGTTTTAAAACATTCACACGGTAGATGTGTGCACCTTTCCACTTCCACAATCAGTAATTTGTACAGAAATCAATCGACTGCAAATTTTATTTTCCGAACTAGCAAATTAGCCCCTTCCCCCTTTCTTTTTTTCTCTCCAGACAGAAGCCAATTTCTTTTCACATTTTGAATAAATAGAACATCCACGCTGGAACAAAGACCTCCTTCGGAGAAATCTTAAGTAATTTCTTTATATGAAAACGTTTCTTCTAAGGCAGCATGAATCATACCAACATCACGGGAGAAGAAATGGCAGGCTTAACTTGCAACAAGTCTTTTGTTTAAATTCAGGGCCGAACATAAGCAGGGCATTGGGGTGGCGAGATAGCAGCAGAGCTGACAGAGAAAGGCTGAGACATCTTTGTGGAGCGGAGTGGGGAGGGCTTCCCCGGGGAGCACGGGGGATGGAGCTGACCCCGACTCGCAGCTGGGAGACACCAGCTCGTCAGGTGGGTCCCAGCCTGTTTTCTGGGACGTTGTCCTTGCTTCCATTACTCCCGTCCTCCAAGGAAGCGTGAGAAGGCAGGCAGAAAACCTTAATGCGTGTATCGTATCTTTGGCATAAGTACAGGGATGATTACTTACTGTCGCGCGGGATCGGTCACTAATGCAGTGTTTGAAGCAGTTCTTTTGTTTTCCATTTTCAGAGCTAGTTTTAGAAAATGCCAGAAAAAAAAAAAAAAAGCACTGGTTTCTGAGCGTAGATAATCACAGATGCACATGGCTCAGGGCCGTATACTCGGCAGGTCATCCTCTGCTTGGCAGAACGGGGCTGCTGGCCTCGTGGTGGCCCAGGTCGGTGAATGTTGCGAACAAGGAGCTGCGGTTCAAGGTGGCAAGAGGCCGGCCGAGCTGCTCACACCAAATTCTGATGTCCGAGTTTGGATGGTAACCTTGTGCAGGGCTTACAGACACAGAGAGCAGAGCTGGACTGTTGGCCCTTCAGTGCTTGGTTGCCTTCTAAGTTAGGAAGAAGCTTTGAAATAATTATTTCTATTTTTGGCTGGTCCTAGCAAGCGTCTGATCACGTTGGCAAAAGGAAAACTGGGGCAGGGATGGTGTAGGCTGATTCTAGGTGGCATTCTGATGCCTTGTGGTGTTCTGCTCTGGCAGGTGTTTTATGGTTAGCAGATACCATCAAGGTGAAGGACATAACACTATGACAGTAAATTATCTTTTTTCCCACCGCTTTGTCCCTTTCCTCATTAATGGGAAGAAAAATCTGAAACAGG